TGTACCGCGGCTGTAAGCGATTGAACTATCTGGCCGCTTACACATTTTCTGGCCTAAATAGTGAACAGTTCTAAACCGTGACAGATATTTTAGATTTTTAAATTAACAGATAATTAATTCTTAATTAATAAATAAGAAATAAAAACCTTACATACTCATAGTCTAAATTAAAATAACAATTTATATATTATGTATAATTATTTTTACTAAAAAGGGCTTAGACAGTAAACTATTGGTTGTGCCATTATTTATAACAGGTCAATTTGAAAGTGAACATAACTGTGCTAATACATGTACAATATCTATTTTTTGTACGGATAAAAAACTAACCCTTTTTCTATGATAAGAAATTTTATGAAGGCTGATTTGTATTTTGCATCAAGGGCACTGGGCGAAAACATGAAAATGCAACAAACACACCACTTTGTGTCTGGCGCCCGGTTACTTTTTTGTACTTTGTTGGTTTTCATGTGGCAAAAATCACCCGCTATAAAATTTAGTGTACAAATTTATTCAAGGGCAAGTAACAAGACTACTCTATGAAAAGTCTGTTGTCGGGTTGACTCAGGAGACCTAAGCTTGGAAATTGAGACCGGTGTCCCTCCATTACAAATAGATAAGACAGAAGTTGTCCTTTTCAATCTATGCACATGTTAGAAAAAAATTAGAATAACCATTCAAAATATGATTTTTTGAGACTTTATCAATTATATTGCTTGATCCAAGTTTCAGGACATTTTCAATCAATACATGTATTATCATTTATAACTTTAAATGAAAGTCTCATCCCTTTAATAATAATGACATAACTGTAACTCTTTAAATTCAGAAATATTATAAGTCTCATCATATCAATATACTAAGATATACATGTATGCACATAACATTAATAATTCCCAGTTTCTATTAAATAAATATGAAATCCTAACATTAACATTGGTACTAATGGATGGAATTCAAAATCTAGTAGAATATATAAACTCTGTTATAGATACTATTATTAGCCAGCTAACACTGGGTATAAACAACTATAACCTGTAGACTGATCAATACATGTATTATCATTTATAAATTTAAATGCAAGTCTCATCCATCATAACTGTAAGTCTTTAAATACAGAAATACACATTATATCCATATACTATGATACACTTGTATGCACATTACATTAATAATTCTCAGGTTCCATTAAAAATAAATATAACATCCTATTAACAGGAATTCATAATCTTGTAGAAAGAAAACTATAATGTACATGATATTGTATAATATAAAAGTAAAAAAAATCTCAAATAGTCTATATCATGTGATACAGATTAAGTTGTGTTAGTGTCTAAACATTAAATGCATATCTCTTACAGTAACAAATACTGTCCCTCTTTTAACCTTCCATTAGACTTTACTATACAATGTATAACTAACTGCATATAATGTAATCAAGTGTTTAAAATGAGCACCTATATGTATAGCTTAAATATTCTACCTTTCATTTTTACCAAAGGTTATTTTAGTAACAATTCATATACAAACACATAGAAAATAATAATTTCACATAGTGATTAGAAGATGCCTCTAGCAGAATACCTATGTACCAACTGAACAAACTAGAAAAATCTGGTCTAGGGTATATCAAGCCAGTAAAAATATATATCAATATTCACTCATCAGGGCCTCTCTGCTTTTGATGACCTTACAACTGGTAAATTTTATAAAAAACAAAAAAATAGTAAGTAATACTAAATATAGAGTAGACAGAAAAGAACAAATAATTTAGTAAACATGAGTTACTTCCCCTTAAAAGAGAGAAAACCTGAAACCCAAAAGAACACCCTAAACATTAAAATTACGAAATGTTGCAGGCTCAGACAGTTTTATTAAGCCATGCAAATTAATGGTAAAGTATTCATAAAAAAATAGATGACCATCAGTTATTGCAGAAAATCGGATAGCTTTCAACATCCGGATACTGGTACACTTTGTAAAAACAACCATTCTGTGCAACAGATCAACGTAATATGGATAAAATCAATAGGGTAATCGTTAACAACAGTCCATTACCTATCCTTATACTCATTTGCAGGTGAACTTTCTTCTTGTAAGAACATTTTGAAAATATATAAATGAATTAACGAATGGATACGGCTTCAATGTAGACCACAACGATATTCGAAATCCGGGCTTTAGTATTGCCAATAAAACTAAGGGACAAGCTGTTAAACTGAGCCTGCAATTTCGTGAAAATAATATCACAATGCACATGCTTTTTATATAAAGTTATTAAATACAAATATAACAACACATTTGTTTACTTGATTTTTACGAATCAAAATAAATCTAATTAACTCAACATGAAATTAACTGCTAATAATAACAGCTCCTTCCATAGGCAAAAATAAAAAGCATTCCATATAAGACGACGCCGCTCACCGGCGTCGCCAATAAAATGGACGGCAAAAGATCTTAACAGGGTGCGCCTATAAGGCACATAAATGTTTTTTGGGTTACATATGTAGAGAGTTAAAACAACTGTATTCATGTAAGTATCTCGACACCATTGTGTCGGAATATTTTCCTTAAAAAGATGAAACATTAGCTCTGTTGTTCAGGGAAATGTCTATTTCAAGAAACAAATATTTTTTGACTACCTGACCGAACGGAATTCCTATCATTTTTCAAAATGCTTATACTTGTGTAACAATTTTACAATGGTGTCGTGGAAATGCCACCCTCTCGTAAGAAAATATTCAAACAAAATTATTTCTTTTATACAGATATGTTAACATTTTCTTAAACAAAACAATAACGTTGTAAGACAGCAGTTTTATATAGCTTAATACACTTTAACTTAAAGTTTATGAGTAATCATATTAAACATTATGATGGTACAGTACTAGTGTGCATGTCAGTGGATAGTACTATGTCGTAAATACTTCAACTCGATATAAAACTTGACAATTGATTTACCCTCGAGCTTTTCAGATGTAAATAAAAGTTTGAGTAAACATAATCTAAATTTATTGAAGTTCTGAAAATTGTAAACAATCGAAACAGTTTTAATGACTGTTAAAGATTGTTAAATTTTTCTTTCCTTGAAAACGTCATTTACTTTTGTCACAACGTTGTTGTTGTTGTTGTTTTTTGTTTGTTTTTTTAGATCTCCATTTAAAATGATATGCAAGTATGTCCTTCCATGCAAAAAATGTCCTTACGAAGGGGACAAACTTAGAACAAGTTCATAAGGCTTTGTTTTCTGGTTTAAAATAACGGAAGACGGCGCTGTTGTGAATACTTTTCGTTGTTTTGTCTCGATTTAAAATAGCTTAAGGATATGCTTGGTGCACTTAAACAACAAACGCACGGCGTCCAATTGCAAGCATCGTGTTTCCTTTCGTGTGATTGAGGTCTACTGCATTTTCGCCCCGTAATAGAGAAAATATACTTGTTTTTTTTGCGTTTTACAAACTGGACACATTGAGATATAAAATGTAACGTTTTTTTCATTTTTTTCGAAAAAAAAACAAAAACAAAAAAAACAATCGCGACAGTCAACACTTTCTAATTTTATCTTTTTTATCATTTTGCTCTTGTCGATTGAATATATATGCATTCAACATGGCACCATGGCTTGAACTACCGAAAACTGTGAAAATAAACCATACCTATAAGTCTGAAATTTTAAGTTCAAGAGGCAAAATAATGAGTTTTTATTTATTTTTAGTTTCTTATTCGCCAAAAGTGAGAGTGAGATACGAATTATACGGTACGATACTGTAACATACCTCTAAAAATGTAGCTTACGGTAGCTGAAAAGGAAGCAGGATAGCCCTTTACTCCTGACCACCAAGCTCATTGGATAAAATAGTATCTTAAAACCTTTGACCGGTTGTTGGCTTTGTTATATATTTAGTATCCAATAAGTAATAGAAAGAGCACCGAAACACGAGGTTATCTGATTTGTACGAGGGGGCGTAGCCCCCCGAGTATTAATCAGATTACCGAGTGTTTTGGTGTTCTTTCTCTTTTGTATCATAGTCAAACATAAAAACACGTTCCCTGTTGTTACAATATGAAACCCCGGCAAAAATGAACCAATGAACGAGCATCTAAATATGACATTTCTGTCGATTTCACTTTCACTGCCGTCACAATATGTAAACCCCAGCAAAAATGAGCCAATCAATGGGCATGCTTTGGAGTGCGGGTAACTAATACCCGCACTCCAGTTAACGCACTGTGCATGTATATGTATACGATTTAACCCTGACACATTTTCAACAGAAAGGTGTCCAAACAATGATACAAAGAGAATATAACTGTCGCTGTACGCAGAAGGTTAATGATTCTATTAATTTAAATGATCATAAATATGAAAGCCGAAAATATTTAAATATTTGGCTCAAAATGATCACAATTTAGTTTAATGAGACTCATTACCTTTCAATCCTGGCTATTTTATTAGTCATGCATGTTTACAGTTTGGCTTACATACAGTTACTCGTACGTTGATCACCTTCCGGTCATTTTAAACAGTATTACCGTAAATGTCTTAAAGCCATTTAAATATCAATTCCTAATAAAAATTTAACAACATGAAATGTGAATAGGATTTCAGACATAAGTTAGATGAAAATATAGATATGAAATGGAATAAGATAAAACAATGTACGGAGAAAATGCAAGGTATTCTTTAAATTTATATAAAATAATGTTTATATTGTTAGATCTTATATATCATTATGTATGTTATACGTGCATTCATTACATTAAGCACGTGTTAACTAAGAATCATGTAGTTTGTAGAAATGAGGTCGTAACAGGTAAATGGTCACACACTTATGTCACATACTTATGTTGAGAAACACAAGTTTACTTCCACCATGCCTCCTTGTTTTAGATTTAATATAATTATGATCCATCTTAATATCCTTTTTTATGCAAGTGTTTTGAATACAGGCATCAATGAAGCTAAAAAAAGGCAATGATCAAATTTTAGATATAAAATGCTTCGACGCTTGCCAAGTCAGTTTGAGATTAGAGGGTTAAGACTAGGTAATAGATAATTGTTATATCTATGCTTTAGTGCTTAAATGTATAAAGTATGTTTATAATTCATTTCACAAAAACGTCTGAAATCCGTTGTTACCTCCGAATATTAAGATAAACATGTATAAATATATTTAAATAGTTAGTTCGTTATTTGCGTAAAAAATGCTATGTTGTACTGTGATTGTCTTTAAACATGTATGTAAAACTATGCAGCTTAACGTACATGTATATCTATGAAAAAAAGAAGAATATGAACGGACTTAATGTAAGCAAACTTTATCAACGTTCTTTCATTTATTTTATATGTTTGTTGTTTTTCTTTCAGGTGACTCATTACAATTCGTTGTAGTATTCGTTCTGTTTTTGGCAGTGTTTGGACTTTTTATCGGAAACAAATACAATGGTAGCGTATGAGAATGTTGTTGGTTATCATATGAGTTTTTATAAGGAATGCGTTTTATAGCTATTCAGATTATTAAAAGTGCAATCCTGGATGTTTTATAACTTTAGATATATATATTTTGTAAGTATTGATATATTGAAACTTTATTTTTCTTTGGAAAGGATGTTTTGTTATTCTTCTATTTCAGGCCTTTCTAATAATATGAAAGCGCATCCGGTTGGAAAATATGATTTAAATGACCAATCAAAGTGTAAATATACATGTTATTATCATTGTTGTTGTTGTTTTTGTTGTTGTTGCTGTTGCTGCTGCTGCTGTTGATGATGATGTTGTTGTTGTTGTTGTTGTTTTTTATGTTTTATATTTTAAGAAAAGTATTCTGCATTTAAAAAGAAAACTTGCAAAGATGTTAAGGAAACAATTGATTGAAAACTGCGAAGTAAAATTGCACGAGATGCTTAGTTATTAGTGATATAAGAAATACAATATCGCACAAATGCATTTCGATTATCATGAATGATTAACAAGGAATCTACGAACACGACTTTTGCAAATTAAGAAAAAGAAAACATCGTTTTTGTTCAGTTTTACAAGTCAGCTTTATTCATTCACTGTTTAAGTCTTTGTTTAGTTACGGAGGGCTATCTTCAAATGTGCTTAATAAAAATAATGTACTTTATTTATTGAAGGGCTTTCAAAGACCTGTGACAAAACCTTCGCTCCAAGCTTTTATGAAAAAATTTTCATGTTTCAAAAATTACCCGAAAAATGATCGACCGTTACTATCAAAAAATTTTGGGGGGAATTAACTCAACCATCAAAAAGGGGTCATTTCCCGTTTTATTTAAACGATGGATTTCCGCACATCCGTTTATCAAGGGGGTGTTCTTTTCCTTACATCCATATTAAATGCGAGAAAATAAGGGGAAAAATCGTCTGATTTTGTAAAATTTTTGGGTTATCAATCGCAATTAAGAGTGGTAAGTATCAAAAGGTTTTTAACCCTTTTAAAATGACACTTTAAACTAGTGTCATTTTTCGTTTTAAAGGTGTAATTCTATATTTTATGCACCGCTTCCGTTTTCACTCGGACCACCTCGACGGTTATTATTAAGCCGAAAAGTTGTAACTGTTCCGTTATCGGAATACCCCGCCTATCATCATTAAGTTATATTGAAATGGCGGTGCCCAACTAGATATGACTCTTCAAATTTCACTGATAGGTATAGAAATCTAAAAACTTTTTAATTGTTTTTTATCCTTTTAAATATACACGTGTAGTCTATAGCCAGGCAAGCCGAGGCTCGGACCCGCTTCGCAGACCCGGTCCTCTCCTATTTATCATTTTTCAAAGTATCATTTTGCAAAAGTTTTATCTTCTTGAGAGCAACACCTATTTGTATAATACGTATTTACCTTTGATCCGTAAATAGTTATAAAGGTAAAGTAGTAACTTGTATTCATTTATCGAAATATAAACGGCACCCTTGGTAAAAATAAAACAAATATTCCAAAACATGGAATTCGCAATTATATTTGTAAGGATCTGACATTCTAGCATTATTCTGAAATGTACGTACAACAGATCTTATAATGAAATCCATGTGACATTGTGAAATCCTATAGCTTCATCTATTGTTGACTTCTACAAGATATAAAGATTCAATTACCTGATTGATCTGAAGGAACCCTGTATTAACACTTATTGACTTTGCAATTTAAGCTGATAGAAATGTTAAACTTACCTTATTGTATAGCAGAAAACTGATTTTCTCTTTACATTTTCTGTGTAGCAGACGTTCAATGACAGACATCTTTGAAATCTGTCACTTCATATTTTACATTGAAGATTTCTTATTGTTAATATCAATTTCAGTCAAATTCAATTCAAGAACGTAATTTATGTAAAGTTTATGATTGATTAAGGTCAGAAATCCTTAAGTATTCACTACATGTTTTTGTATATTAACGATTTTCGTATGTGGATTTTATATGAGATTTCAATATGGCCGCCATTGAAATCCATGATTTCAGATTCAGAAATTCGACCGTCTGTCTATTGGAAGATTTCCGGATTTCTGTTGTTTCATTGGTGGATTTCAAACATCGAACCTTATAAAAGTCGGAATCCAACCAATGTTGTCACTTCGGTCTTGACCTCCAAGTAGTGTAAATAAAGTTTTAAACCGCCAAAGTTCAAATTCAATAAACATCTTACAAACGTTATTGTTATCCAAACTTGTAAGTTGGTATGTACTTAAATCCAATATTATTTACTCACTAGACACTGTTGTTGCCGAAATACTTGTTATAAACTTAGAAAACTGTATAAGAATTGTATTTATTTTCCCCCTCCTGACATACGTTTACATATTACTTAGCACAGCGAAAGAAACGTGTTACTTTTATGAGATATTTTATATTTAAATTGATGCCTGTTGTATTAAGTTTGTTCGTAGCAAATTGTCTAGAACATTCACACGTCAAAAAGTTCCTTTTTATGCTATTACATATTACAACTTTATATACTAAAATTCATTTAGACAGCATTCCTTCAGATTCATGTTAATTTTCATGAAAACTCTGAAAATTATTTAAAAGTAAAACGTTGTGAAGTGAACAAAGGAAGTAATTTACACGTTACAACCAGTAAATTACTATGAAAGAAGACAAATAATACCAAAATAGCCCTTAAACTATCAGGTAAGCTCAAAAGCTCAATGAAGAACGCTGAACTGTGAATCGGGCGACCCGGGTTCGATTCCCGGGCGTCGCAGGTCAGCGTCTGTGTGATTGATCATCAAATCCTTTCTACGGTTATTCACACTGATTTTCTTGAACTATTTTGTCTCATCTGGAGAAATGTAGCTTTAAACGCACAATGAAGAAAATTCTGAACAAATGCTCTCTTCAGGTTGTACTAATAATATCTGTCATATTTTGCGGTTCGGATCGGAATATCCGTCCCGAGGTGACCCGCCCATTGGGCGGTAACGAGGCTTGCCGAGTTACCGCCCATGGGCGGGTGACCGAGGGACGGATATTCCGATCCGAACCGCAAACATATGTCAGATATTTTTTCTTGCATATTCTACCATATTCCATTATATTTTAAATTCTTTATCTTTATTTTCAATGAAAATTTATATCATTACAACCGTAACTACTTTCATTCAACAGCGTATGAATTACAAAATTATTCATAACGGTAAAATGACGTCATCTTTATCGTGCCATTGTACAGCACGCGACTCATCTGGAACCCCCCATGCCAGATGAAATTTCCGGCATGGGTAAAACTAACGGAAACGCCAGTCTGATATGCAAGAAAAGTTTATTCGATTTTTTTTTTGTTTTTCTATATGCATTACATTATTTTGTTTTCAGCTACGTAAAAAGTGTCAGTGTGAAATAAGACGGTTTCCATTTGAAGAATTTCCGCCACATGTTCGCAAACTGAAAACATATGCATTTAAACCTATAATAATTCAGGTAAGAAATCTACCGAAAGAATGCCAGTGAAAAACTAAACCCACGTCATTTAAACTATAAAGTTGTATTTATCAAAATTTTAAACTATGCCTATAAGAACAGAGCGGTGACGGAGGGGGGCGTCTCAATATTCTACTGCTTTGACTTGGCAGCAAGCAGTATAGAAATAAATGTGACTGCAAGGGAATTCGAGCTGGTCTGTGTTTTTTTTAAAATGCATATTGATGCTACTTTTGCCACTGGTGAGAAAAGGTAAATATAGAAAAAAGCTAAACATTGTTTTAGTTTTATGGCAATCATGTATTTTATTTTGAAGTTGTGCGCAATTTTATTGCATATTTAATTTAGTATATAGCATAAAAGTAAACTATTTTGACTGTGCTAAACCTATTTTTGAAATAAAGCGCTAAACAACTGAAAATGTAAATGAAGTTTTAAACAGTATGCCAGAGAAAGAAATTGCTTATAAGTTTAATTTGAAATAAAGCGCTAAGCATATGAATGGAAAAAAAGAACGCTCAAAAGTGAACCTCTTAGATATCTCTGTCTTGTTTTATTAGTAAAGATAAACTGAAATTGCACCTTTTAACATCCGTGCCGCAGTTCTACCTCTTTCTCAATTACAAAGTTTCCCAAACCAAAATGGATACTGTAGTATTATTTTTTTGTGTGTGAAAATTGCTTCTATCAAATGACGAATAAACTTTAGAATTGTTCGATTCTAAACAAGATACCGGTACTTGACATGCTTATATGTGAATAGTTCAACTATAAATCAACATACTTTCTTGTTATCTTTTTAGATGGCCCTTCTGGAGTTTGGTTTTGTTTGGTGGATTGATATTTCAGTGAAATTGCTAAGGGTTAATTTAGACAATGCAATAAACTATGCAAGGAAAAACAGTATGTTGTTCTTTGTGGAAAGAAAAAATCCCAAAAAAGTCAGCATAGCGAAACAAACGGACATTCGAACTTTTAATTATTTAGCAGAAGATGTATGTAAATACAGACCATTCGGAGAAGTTTGGGCAACAACAGTTTTGTTTTATTATGACCATGTTACCAAAGTTGTTGTGAATGCATGGGCGTCGTGCGCTTTGAATGAGGCATGTATTGCACCGGTTGGGGAGGATAAACTGAAATGTGATTTCCTTGATCTAAGCGACGGGAGATGTCATCGATTTGACCAATCAGTACTAGGGATCATTGTGCGACGCTTATATCATGAGCAAAATGAATATCCGCTAGACAAAGAACTGAATAGTATTTATTATATTGGAAGGCGAGAATTTGTAAACTATTTTGAACATTGTAGTTTTGAATTTATGTGTTACTAATAATGAAATCTAAGACTGTATATATATATATTTTGCAGAATTTTATCGGTGATTTATATAAAGTTAGCATGTCTATGGGATGACGTCATTCTGCCGGTATAAATAAAAATTTGCAAACTTATTCCGGAGGCTGTTTAATGCAAATTTATAAAAACAGCCTGAAATAAAGAACGATGTGGTAATTTCTTTTTGCAATATAATTTATAGCGAGCTGAAAGAGCATGCCTTAAGTATAAGGGCCTAATCGCAAAGCGAGCATTATGGTAACGCAAGTTTCTTGAAGTGATGGATTTGAAGTTTGTTGCGGAAGTACAGCAAAATTATGGGTAATAAGATTGCCTCTTCTTCATCGGAGGTAATTTTGGTTCCCTGTTCTATTATATTTTGACTACGCCATGAATCAGTACCAACATGTTACCTGCACTATTTTTACCAAAGCACGTCGGGAAACAGTTTTTCTGGTTTCATAATGTACGTCTTGTGCAAAATGACAATCTATTGTGTAGAAGTAAATATTCAATACATGCTTAATATAAGTTTATGTTTTTATGACATATGCAAACTGTCCGTGGTCGAGGGGTAAGAGTCGATGACTTCTAATCTAGTTAACTCTCTGGCATGGATTCGATCCCCCGGGAGATGCTTTGGTAGTTTAGCACGGAGGAAGGTAGTCTAGTACTGGTGTAACTCTCCAGGAACGATGGTTAGGAAACTACCCGCCTATATGACTGAAATACTGTTGGGAAAAGGCGTAGAGTGAAACAAACAACAAACATAACATGTTTATGTTGGAAAACAGCAGAAAATAGAAGAATATATTATTTCATTTTATGTTAACATTTGTCCAGGATCCAGGAACGTATTAGATATATGGGGAAAAGTAATTAAATATATTTGTGCTGTTTGTGGTAATAAAAGGCAAAAATACACATCGTTAAATTCTTTTGATTATGCGTATTTTATAGCTGTTATATTCATTATTCAATTTATATTATTATATATAGTCTATATGACGGCGGGCGTATCGTAACTTATCGATAAACTACATCTAAGTTAAATTTTCTAGTTATTTGAACATTTTGTTGAATCTCTTTTTATTGGTGTGTGGTTGGCCGTTTTTGCATGTGTTCTGTTTAATGTTAACTGTGTTTTTTATTGGCCGTGAAGTACTTGTTGTCTGTATTTGTTAACATATCTTCTGTTGTTCTTGTTGTCTGTCCCGTTGTTGTTTGTCTTTAACTGTACTGTATAAGCTTTTTTTGTCTTCGATGCCCGTTGTCTGTTCTACTTTCTTGTTTGTTTTTATTGTCTTCTTCCATTGAGTTTCTTTCTCTTTTTTTTTTGGTTTCGTGTCTTGGTATTTTCTTTGTCTAGGTTTCTTGTTGTCTGATCACTTGAATGCTCCGTTAAGTCGTTGCTGTCATTTTCCCCGTGACGTCCCTTTTAGTATGTCTTTAGGTTTTTCGCTACCTGTTCCGTTATCCGTCTTAGTCATTCTTATATACTCATACTCTTATAGTGTTTTAGCGAGGTATCGAAATCCCGACCTTTCCGTTAGGGCTCTTATTGTCGTTTCCAATGTTGTGCTGTCCTGTAAGTTGTTATTATCTGTACCGTTTTGTTTTCTGTTCTAGTTGTTCTGTTTAGTCATGTTAACATATTCCGTTGTTGCATATTCCGTTTTTCCAATAGCGGTCCTGGTTTCCTGATCCGTTTAAGACTTCTGTGGTCTGTATCGTTGATGTCCCTGTGTCTTGTTCCATTAGGTCCCTTTTGTATGTTTCGTTTCCGTCTAATTCATTCAGTGTATTGTAGAATACTCCTTTTAGTATTTGTTGTTATCTGCCGAGTGACGTCACTTTTTGTATTTCTTTTGCGTTATGCATCTTTCATTAGGTCTTTTAAATTGGTTCCTGTCCGTTTAGTCTGTATCTGTATGTTTTAACCGTTTAGTCCTATATGTTTCAGTTTTGTCAGTCTCGTAATCATTTCATTCTTTAGGTGCTGTAGCGGGGGATCGAACTCACGACCCCTTGATTGGTAGACAGACAGTGTTACCACTGCACCATAGCGCCCGCTCTGAATAGAAACAGTTTTTGAAAGTCCTATATACATTATTACTTCAATGGCTAACAAAAAAAAAGGTATCGCATTTAAATTTTAACACCTTATTTTAGGTAGTGAACCCACGTGACTTTTAAAATCGTTAACGTACTGTACTCGATTAAAGTATATAACAAGCATAACAAGAGAATTCTGTAAGTTAAATATTTATTCAATGAATTAGATAAGAGCATATCCATCTTAGCCATGAGTTTTTATTCAACTATTCATATTAAATTAAATAAATTTCATGAAATCTATTTGTTTGCAAAATATAAGGTAGTTTGAATGTACTTTGCGACATCCCCAGTCTAGTAGTTACTGCATTATACTTAAAGTTCCACATCTAGCCAGCTGTCTGACATGTTGTTTCAGTGTTATGCGGGTAGACTTGGTTCTTGCAACAGAAAATGTACTTCTTGAAGTGGAATCTATATCTAGAACTGTTTATTGCATATAAAAAACGGATTGATTGCCGACTTTGACCATAGCAACCAATTCATACTTTCATAGAAGCTTGTGTTAACACATTCATTGCCACAGAATGAAATTACTATCGTTGTTATAGTGTATGGAGCCCAACATGCAAGGAAAACTAGGACCAGGATCGCCAAAAATCGTGCTGCTTTTGCATCCCGCTTAAATCGCGAATGTTCGTTCTTATTTTTAGACTTTCTTCTGAAACTGTTCTCTAAGGTTCCGAAGAAACTGAATCGAGCTGAACGTTTAGGAATCACGGAAAGTGATATTCTGTTATGTAAATTATTATGAGAAGTCGACATGCAATTTCTCATTAATGACTTTTGTTACATTTTCTATTTTTCCTGAATCAGGTCTAATTCCCTTTTCATCATGATCTTCTTCAGTAATATGTTCTGTACTATTCAGCAATATCTTTGGCATATTCGATAAGCGTCCTGAAGAATACAGAATCTTTGGTACATTCGGCATTCCAAATTTTCCTACGTCCAAACGTTCCACCATCATCCTTTTCGAACGCTTATATTGGTCAGCTTTTATATGCATAATTTCTTGGATCTCTGTTATTTCCTTTGTTATTGATGAAGATCTTATAATAGGTTTCGGATTGACACTGTTTGGACTGCCAATTCTGCTTTTAATGTGTTGATATATCATAACATTCATGATTGCTAATCCTACAACTGGTATAACAAAACTCAATAATTGCAGATGTTGTTGTAAACACAAAATTATATGCAATTCAACGTCACAGTCCAAAGGTTCCACTGTCGTATAACCCACCAAATAATTCCAGCCAATAATTGCTGGCCCGTATAACAGAAATGAAATTATCCAGGACAGAATAACCAAGAGTTTAGCTTTCTGTTGTGTCATTTTTGAAGAATAGAAGGGTCCGTATTTAACAAGGTATAGTCTATCGAAACTTAACAATAGTATTAGCAAGATTGATTCAAGACATAATGTAAAATCTATAACATTCCATACTTTACAAAACGTATCACCAAATTCCCAGACAAATTCTTGAAGCGTATAGACTGCATAAAATGGCATACTTATGCATCCTATTAAAAGGTCTGTAGTAGCTAAATTAAAAATAAAGAAGTCATAAACAGTATGAAGTCTTTTGTCAGTGATGTAAGCGATTATTGTTGCTGCGTTGCCGCTTATAGCAAATAAGACTAAAATTGAAATTAAACATGCTGATATCACTCGAAACGTTGTTGTCATTCGAATGAAATCATATTCATAATAATCATAATTATCCGAGCTGCTATTGTTTTCTTCCATTTTTAAACACTTTTCAATAATGCTAAACTGTTACACTAAAATATTAACTCATAATTCAGAAGTCAATATGACTTAAACACTAGATTTGTAAAACTAGTAAAACTAGATTTGTGAGTAACACTTTTTCTGTAGTCAATATTATTTCAAATTAACGTCAAAATTATATAAATAATCAGTAAAATAGATTTTAATTTTTCAAAATTAATGATTTATGATCCAATCAAACTGCACATAACACAACATTGTTTACAAGCAAGACGCTTTTTTGAACACGGTGCTTTAAACACATATAGGTTCCTTCTTAATTTTGAAAATAATGCGCCACTTACATAGAAAAATATATATTATGTATAATTCTTTGATATATATTCTGTTCAAACAGCTTCACACTTGTATCCATTTAAAAATACAACATGTTCGTTTGTTGAATACAGCAATACCGAAACTGACGTTAAAATCCGATCATGTAACAATGGTTAACCTTCATAGAACATGTTCAAATATTTGATAATGGCATAATCAGATATTAAGTAAGATATAGTATAAATTAAAAGTAGTCCGAATAACTGGATGATAAGAAGTCAATGACTGCAATAAACATAATGTACAGGTAGTTTGATTACTACTATAAACGAATCATAAATTAGAAGTATGTGTATTGTAAATTTGTAATTATAAGTTATTTAACGTTTATGTGTATAATGCAGAAATATACACATACACATTCTTTAGGCCGAGAACACAGCTGAAAAAATGATTTATCAAATATAAAACAATGGTTGATCCATTGATTAAAAAAACACATCATGATTTATTATTTTCAGTTGCTTATTAACAATAATTCTTTTTCTCAGAAATAAATGACATATTCTAAAAAGTCTTATTATAAAAGTATAAAACTTATTCTTACACCATGTGACAGACATGATTTTATTTTTTAAATAATTAATTAATTAAACTGACTATAAAGCTATATGCCTCCACCAATTGGCCATATTATTTTAAGAAAATTAATCAAACTTTAGCAAATTGTAGATCTACCAAGATTTTAAGAAAGGTTAAAAAGACTCTAGTAAAAATTGATATGGCATGTGCGATTAATGACTCATCTTGCAGTAATTGCTATATATCTGCAGCGTGATTAAAGCAGTAATTAAGGACCATTTTGCATATTTTGACAATTTTGGTTATTTACGTGCCTTACATGTGTAATTTTCTATGTACCAGTCACTGTAAATCACTTCTTTGTTCCCTTCACAATGTTTAACTCTTAAAAACAAATTCAAAATACTGGAGTCATGTTGCTTTCATGTCAATGATTATAATTGAAAACATGTTCAGATCAGTACCCTACACTTATTCAAAAGTAAATGTATTCGGACTCATAAGATTTATTTTACAGCGCAAACTTAATAACCTTCACAATTAAAAAATAAGAAAAAGAACAAAAAGCATCAATAAGCATACTCAAATCTAAATGATCAATTCTTATCCTTAATCAGGACTGGGAATCAAAACTGCGTCGTATCCAACAAAATGTAAACAAACGCCGCCATCTTGGAACGAAAAATGTATGTTTTTGTTTATAACTATTTTTGTTGAAAATGACTGAAAACCAGATATATGTATTAACACGCTACACATTTTTCCGCTTCGTTCCGTATATGTAAAACAAAAGTTATAGCGAACTTGCAACTCGAAGCGGAGCAGAATTTTTATTAAAATGATGGATACGACGCAGTTCATATTGCCTTATCTATCGTTTTTTCCTTCAAATAAATTATATACTCGTTTTCAGAGTTCACCATAAACTTCAAAACATAATTTTGCATCATTTACTAAACTTTATTAAAAAATGATGTTTATTTTCTAAGAAAATAATGATTTTTACGAAATGATACGACGCAGTTGAAAATTAAATATGATACGAAGCAGTTGTATTTTAATTGCAGGCTGCATATTGGTTAAACTATTTAAATTATGTGCTAGGTATGCTAATAACGTCCAACGACATTTTTTGTTTACGACTTAAGTCAAAAGCAGAGGTCACTCATTGGTTTCATAAAAATGGAAATGTAATACAATTCTTTAAAGGCTGCATTTTTCGGTCGCATTTTAGTACCTATCATAAGCATCAGCTGTGCAAAATGCAATATACATTGAAACACGTGATCGCACACCCATATGACAACGTGTTCTAGTGTTGCCTTAGCTTTTAAACTTGTTCCCATGATTTCGAAATGGGAGTGGTTACTATTTTTGATACAACATTCAATCTTCCAGTATAACCTCTCCTGGACCCTGTATTAATCAGGAACTACTTTTTTATATAAAAAGAGAAAGAATTACAAATTTTGAAAAGGTCTCTCGCTATCGGGAGAGAGCTATGCGCAAATTGCATTCCTATCTTTGTTACTTGTAATTAGCAATAATTTCTGTCAAATCCGTTATTACTTATGTCTTTATCGTGCCGATTTTATTGTATTCAACTTCTTAATAATCGATGAGGATAGATGGGTTTTATTATTTGAAACTGAACATTAAATTTTTAAAATTATATTATAAATGGTTAAGCTACAATTTATTTTTGCAGGTAGGTTATGCGTTCCGTTTAGTCATTTTATGTTCAGCGCCGAGAACTTTACCGCTGATTTTGTTGTACTCGCATTTCTTTATCGCCGTTGGGAAAGGTCTACGGAATGTATTTTTTATATTTGCACTTAAGTATCATTCTTCTTCATCGAAAAACTTTAAATTTTCAAAACCGAGTTACATATGATAAAAGCTACAAATTATTTTGTAAAGAAAGTGTCCGTTTTGCAAAGGTATTTTTACGCTGTGCACCGATAAATTTGATACAGATATAGGCAGACATGATTTTTCAACAGTATTGGAGAAGTTTACAAAATATTGAACAGAAAATTTAGGTCAGATTATCGCACCGAATTTTCAACAGACTAGAGACATGACATCTTAACATACCTTCATATTTTATGAATTGCCTGAAAACGTAAACAAAAATTTTCAGAAAACGACTTCACAAAGGATTACCCCCTGTTTACATTGAAAATTTATCTGTAAGTCATACCGAAATAAGAAATTTAAATGTTATTCTCTTTATAATTAATTCAAATATTTATGATCTTAAAACTTCACGCCAGAAGTTAATAAAAAAGCTGCTTATTTGTACAGCTCACTTTAACAAATTTTGTTGAAAAAACAAATCAGACAGGTGTGTCCGACCGACGCCGAGCTGTTTATGTTTACTGACTTCAAATCACTTGGACTGAACTGCTATGATTTCGAAAACCACCAAATATTTTTATTCTTTCATGTGGAAAACCTATCAAGCTAGTTTAAAAATGTCGATGGTTCTCTGCAGGTGCAGCATTTTGCCTGAAATAATGCACAAAGGCGCTAATATGTAGAGTGAAAGTTTGAGAAGAAGTCATTACCAAGAACATGCAGAACCACAGTTAACTTAGAGCGTAGCTAGCCAAAATGAATTCAAGTTTATAGATTTCTACATTTTTTTTACATTTTTTTTTTGCAAAAAAAAAATAGGGATGATATTGATATAAGAACTTATTTCAGGTATTATGATCAATTAGGTAACATGTTCATGTTTAACTGAAAAATAGCTTCCGCAATGAAACCTTTCAAATTATATGTTATACTGGACATGACACAATGTATTCTTAATAATCAAAAGCAATAGAACATTGCTATACACCGCAAATAATCCGGGTTTTTTTTATCTTGCGCAAATGATAATTCCATAAATTTAAATAGAAATATGTTGCCAAAATTATCCCTGTTGAAAAGACTGCCAAAAATACAACTGCGTCGTATCATATTTTATTTTTATTTTCAATTGCGTCGTATCATTTCGTAAAAATCATTATTCTCTTTTTAATGAAAGTTTAGTAAATGAGGCAAAATTATATTTCAAAGTTTATGGTGAACTCGGAAACGAATATATAATTGATTTGAAGGAAAAAACGATAGATAAAGCAATATGAACTGCGTCGTATCCACATATTTTAATAAAATTTCTGCCCCGCTTCGAGTTGCAAGTTCGCTATAACTTTTGTTTTACAAAATAGTTGTGTAAGCAACATATTCCGAACGAAGCGGAAAAAAGTGTAGCGTGTTAATACATATATCTGGTTTTCAGTCATTTCCAACAAAAAGAGTTATAAACAAAAACATACATTTTGCGTTCCAAGATGGCGGCGTTTGTTTACATTTTGTAGGATACGACGCATTTTTGATTCCCAGCCCTGTTAATGCGATGGGTTTTTTTCTGGCGCAAATTTTAGCGGATAACAAATTTTACAATACGTGGATATACAGCTTATTTTTTATTTCATGATAATACTCAGTCATCTCTTATCATACACATATTTTATTCATTATACCACCGTCTACATATATTGACGGTGTCGGTCGATAACCCTGTGTTATCGTTATTTTTCTGCATAGACTACTTCCTGGTTTAAATTGTGACACAACAAAAAATCAATGGTAAATATTCTTATATAATAATGATATAATATAACATTTATACAACTTTGAAACGATTGCATAACATCGGATTTGTTTAGATGTACCACCGTAAGTGAGAAGCATTGTTTTAACTTAAATGTTCCAATTTCAAATCAACTTTCGGTTTTGATTTCATCATATTAAATTGCTTTGTTACTTCATATGTACCTAAAAAGGCAAAGGCTCGTATTACACGTTTTAATTGGCTATAGATAAGTTACAGCCCAAGTAAGAATTGTTTCATTGTAATATTTTAGTGTACATGTTTGTGGGCAGACGATTGTTTTAATTTTCTCGTAGACTTTCATTCATAAACATACATTAAAATTGAGTAATTATGCTAAATATGTGGTTCTGCGGGATAATCAAATGTCTGACACATCAAAATAATCTTCCTAATATATATCGTTGACCGACCAACCGGTCACACAGCCCAAATAGAAAAATAACTTTGTTAACACCCTAGGGGCTACTGTTCCAATCCAAATATCCTAGAAATTTTTAAGAAAGGCTGTAAATATGATAATGTATAAATAAATAAATATAGATTAAACTGTACAGTAAAAAACCGTTTTTTGCAACTGAAACGAATGTTTTAAATGACAAAAGGAACAAGAGGGCCATGATGGCCCTTATATCGCTCACCTTATTATGAACGTTTAATGCCATTTTATTTGGGCTGTGTGAATCAATCAATCAAAAAACCATATTCAAACTTGACATAGAAATATATAATTATGTCATATTAAAATACATTATAGACAATTTATCACAGATTTATCTATCACATAATTTGTAACACAATAATTATTTGAAAAAAAAAAAACTTTTCATTCATAATTTTCTCAAAGATCTAGTTGACTTCAAGGCAATATATACAACACAGGAGAACCCATGAAAGTTCAATATTAAATAGAGAACATATTTCAAATTTGGTCCTTTGATGGAAACAAATATATTTTTTGAGAACTGGCATTTTAGTCCATGCTTAAAGATAATATACTGGACTGATGTTATATTTCTAAGATTAAATGATATTAATTTCTATTGCACATTATGTTAATTACACCTATCACACTTTACAGGAATAATTCTATGAATATGACTAGTTATCACACCAATGAAAACTATCTATTTATATCTGGGTCACATGGGTTTTAAAGCTAGGTCACACAACCAAAATATGAAAAAATCTTATTAACACTCTAGAGGCTACTGTTTTGATCCAAATATCCTCGAAATTAGTCATAAAGTTTGTTTTTGTGATTTCTATGTCAAGTTCGAATATGGGTCATCTGGAGTCAAAAACTAGGTCACAGAGCCCAAATATGTAAAAATCATGTAAACACTAGAGTCTATTGTTTTGATCCAAATATCCTGGAAATTGGTTGGTGATTTATTGGTTAATTTCCAATATGGGTCATCTTTGGTTGAAAACTAGGTCACACAGCCCAAATAAAATGGCATTGAACGTTCATAATCAGGTGAGCGATATAAGGACCATAATTGCCCTCTTGTTCCTTTTGTCATTTAAAACATTCGTTTCAGTTGCAAATTACGTTTTTTTACTGTACATTTAATCTATATTTATCTAAATTTGATAAACAATTCAAATATACATGAAAGATAATTTATTCGTAAAATAAATACATTTAACTTTTAATTAGGATACAACGTCAAGATATATGTGTATAGTTTAACTTGCCAACTTAACTTATCCTATTGCCGTTATGTATGAAGTTGCTTATTCTTACTGAACTATACGTTATTATTAATTCCTGTTAAAGCTATCGTTTTTAGTCCCCTACAGGTTTACCGGAGGGGACTTTAGGTTTACCCTCCGTCCGTCTGTCTGTCTGTCCGTCCGTCCGTCCGTCTGTCAGTCCGTCAGTCCGTCCGTCCACAAAACTGGATCCCGCAATAACTTGAAAAGTACTGAAAATATTTTTATGAAACTTGGTATATGGATAGAAGGCAGTATGGAGATTATGCACGTCTTTTTCTTTTCTTCCTATGTTGAAAATTCTGGTTGCTATGGCAACAAATAGGCTGAAAATATGGCAAATTTTACACATAAACTGGATCCAGTGATAACGCAAAAAGTACTGGAAATATTATTATGAAACTTGACATATGGGTAGATGGCAGTCTCGAGATTATGCACGTCTTTTTCTGTTCTTTCTATTTTGAAATTTCTGGTTGCTATGGCAACAAATAGGCTGAAAATATGGCAAATTTTACACATAAACTGGATCCAGTGATAACGCAAAAAGTACTGGAAATATTTTTATGAAACTTGACATATGGGTAGATGGCAGTCTTGAGATTATGCACGTCTTTTTCTTTTCTTCCTATGTTGAAAATTCTGGTTGCTATGGCAACACATAGACTGAAAATATGGCAAATTTTACACATAAACTGAATCCAGTGATAACTCAAAAAGTACTGGAAATATTTTTATGAAACTTGACATATGGGTAAATAGCAGTCTTGAGAATATGCATGTCTTAGCTGTTCTTCCTATTTTGAAAAAATATCAGTTGCCTTGGCAAAAAATAGGCTTAAAACATGGCAAATATAACAATATTTGTGATTAGTCAAAAAGAGCTGAAAATTTTTATGAAATTGCATCTTTAATTCAAGAGTTATCTCGTCTTTAAGAATTTTGCTTTTAAAATGTAATATTTTGGTAACAGGGATGTTTCAAATATTAACTTTAGAGTGTCCTTCAGTTCGTCTGTCTGTCTGTTCATAAAAACTGTTTCCTATGATCTCTTTTAAAGAACTTTTCTAACAAATTTACTTAAAATAGAGAAAAATTGAAACATTATAGTGAATGGCCAATGGCCCTTCAGAATGTTGATGGGGTTCTAACCGGTAGGGGACTTATGGATTGCTTGCAATACTATGATAATTGCTTGTTCTTTATGTCTTTCAAACTTTTATCAGTATGGAAAACACTGGCAGATTCTCATCCCCCCATGTCCCTCATTAAGCATGAACCTTCTATTGTTCTCGCAAATTTTTACATACAATGTTATCACTACACAGGCAACTGGTGATCGACTGTTAGTTGGGGCAATAGATTTTGGAACGTCATTTTCTGGTTGGGCATTCTCTTTTAAACATGAAAATGAAAGAAGTCCCCCAGGTGCAACCGTCAAAGTTTGGCATGCAGGAACGATAACCACAGAGAAAACACCGACGTGTTTATTGCTGAAAGCAGACGGAACATTTGATTCATTTGGCTATGATGCAGAAAAAAGATATGGAGAGCTCTCAGCCCAACATCTACACTCGGAATACTTCTTCTTCAGGCAGTTTAAAATGAAGCTCTTTGAACCGTTTGGAAAGGTATAAAATTAGTAATTGAAAAATAAACTGAAATAGCTTTTATGTTTTTAAACGTTTTTGTATGGTAGATGTTATATATTGGTATAACAATATGTAACTGAAAGTAAAATATAAAAAAAAAAACAGACTATTAAATAAGTAACACATGGATTTTTTGCCAATAGCAAAAATGTCATCTCGGGGAATATATTACAGAATTCTTATGACGGATGACATTTTTACTGTTACACAATGTTGATGATCTGAAATTGTTTGACACATAATTATTCACATTACAATTACTTGCGATGAAAACAGATGTTTACTTTTGACTATACAACAAAAAGATATATTATTCGCGAAGCACTCCAGAGTGCAAACAACTTAATTTTATGGGTGGCAAAGTCACTCTTGTGATGCCCTATCGTACTGAACTTACCGGTAACAGTGCAATTTTTTTGCCAAGTGGTTCACTTGCATCAATTCTTTAAGAATAACTTCTAGATGCCTTTCGGAAATTAACATCTCGAAGAAAGTAATAAAATATAATCTTAAAGATGTAATGCTAAGAACTGCTAGAGAAAGTCATTATTATATTGCATTTCTTGTTGTATTTTACAAGGGTATTAAAAGAGATATGATGATACGTGATGAGATTGGAAAGCAGTTTCTAGCAATAGATGTGTTTGCAATATCGATAAAATACCTGGTAGAGGATTTGATTAAAATTGTTAATCAGCGAATAACAGGCGAATTATTACCCACTGATATCGGCTGGGTATTAACAGTTCCTGCAATATGGTCAGATGCATCAAAGCAGTTTATGAGAGAGGCGGCGATAAAAGTGTGTATCCTAATTTACCTTATATCTTATACATTCTATATGAAGTTTTTTTTAAATATATGTAAAACTAATCTGCTAAAAATCCACTCTGTTCGACAGGTTTTGTAGATCTGTATGGTTTTACAATTCGTAACTTCTTTCTATACGTCTTCAATCAATGAATTTTTATATGTTTTGCAATCTTAAACGTTTATGTAGGTCTAGTAATCAGCACATGCGTGCTAGATTGTTCATTTACAAGAAAAAATATCATTTCTACATTCCAACATAAATGGTCAAACCTGGTATCGGGAATGACTTTATAAAAAGATGCATCCATTTCTTATTCAAAATATAACTTTCTGTAAACAATTTACTTCTCTTTTTTTTACAGGCTGGCATTTACAATGACCAGCTTAGAGTTGCTCTGGAACCCGAAGCTGCTTCAATATATTGCCGCCATTTACCAGTAGATGCATCAACAAACGAGAGTAAACTAGCAATATCAAATCTTCCGATTGGTACCAAATATATGGTTCTAGACGCAGGAGGTATTTAATGTTTTAATACACCTGTTATGGTAAATAGTAAGACATTCAAAGTCACACTTTCAAAGTGACACTTGACCAAACTATGAGTAAACGTCGACTGTTCAGGTAAAAATCAAAATAACATTTCGTCTTATTTGTTTTTTTTAATTTTATAATAAACATAATCTGAATTATCAATATCCCCCATGACCTATCTATATTTATCAATAACATTCAGTTGTTTTGTTTTTCTTAAAGTAGAGCACTCTTTTTATTTGTTAAGCAGTTTAATTATTATATCCTTAATTTAAGTCATTATCATTTATTGGCCAATGACCATCATAATAGCAAATCTTTTGAAATATGTAAGTACTTTTGCTCATTGTGACAGTAAAAAAAGAGCATTAAGTTACTTTTACTTAATTTTGTCTGATTATGAGTGTATCAAAAAAGCGTAATGCCAATATAGTGTTTGAATATATAGCTTCATCCTGGACCTTTGAATCGTCAGTTTTCTTAAATAAATCGTCATATGCATTTGTAAATATTAACTAGAAATATAGCTCTAATCAGCTCTTGAAAATGTTTATCTAAATATATTTATTCATTGAAATTAAGGTGGTACAATCGATATCACAGTCCACGAGGTTCAAGAATCTAACACGCTAAGAGAAGTAAGAGCAGCAAATGGCGGTGCTTGGGTGGAAAACTTTGGTGAACAAAGCATTTGAGGAATTCTTAAGGGAAATTGTTTGGTGATCTAGTGATCGAGTCTTTCAAAATGAAAAGATACTGAAGATTGGCTTTACATGTCACTTCAATTTTGAAGCAAAGAAGAGACAGATAGAAATCAAATCGCCTAGGTACATCACCTTTCGTTTACCATTATCTCTGATTGAATTATGTGAAAGGTTAAATGGAATGCATATTCGGGATGCAGTTGCTGCCTCAAAGTATGCTGAAATAGTTGATATAGTCCGTGATAAACTTAAACTCTCAAAAGTTGTTTTTTTCTATATGTTTGGTCAAACATTACAAAGAACAGTTGATCATGTTAAATTTTTATTTAGAGAAACAACCATTAGAGAAGTCGATATCATTCTTATGGTTGGTGGGTTTTCAGAATCACAGTTGCTGCAGCAAGCTCTGAAAGAAGCATTTCCGAATAAAGAAATAGTCGTTCCATTTAACCCTTCATCGTGTGTACTAAGAGGTGCCTTGATGTATGGCCATACACCTTTGACGATAAATGGCAGAATTCTAAAGTATACATATGGCGTAGAATCATGTATAGACTTTAAAGAAGGTCACCACCCGGATAAGAAGAAAATAAATACGGATGCCGGGTTTTGCTGTGAAGATAAATTTTCAATCTTTGTGGCGAAAGATACCGTTGTTAAGTCAAATGACACGTACATCAAAAAAAGATTTACGACACTTTACAAGTATCAAAAAGCAATGACTGTTAGTTGCTTCCTATCTGAGAAGAAAAATCCAAATTATGTTGATGAAGATGGATGTTTAGAAATAGCACAAATTGAAATATATCTTGACAATCCTGACGAACGTTTAGACCGCACAGTTAGTGTCTCTATGGCGTTTGGTGATACAGAAATCACGGTGGATGCTGAGGATGAAAGAACCGGGAATAAAGCAAGAGCAGTTATAGATTTTCTAGGTTGAAGCCGTGATGTAAATAAAAGAATGATACAACAATCGTTGAAACAATATAATTAGCAAGAAAAGTGTAATATGATATAAGACTTCTTGACTTAAAAGGCTATCAAAGACAACATTTCAATTTTGTCATAAAATTTATATCAAGTGTTTCACGTGACAAGCTAAATAACGCCTCGAAAACGTTTTCTAACTCATTAGAATTAAAACAATTAGTTAAATTTGCCTAAAAAATAATTATTTACATAAACTAAAAACTAAATTATAGAAAATGATAGAAATGAGTCTATCTTGAAAATGTATAGCTAATCGCAACACATTTACATTTATTTACATATATTAATTAAATCAAATGTGAGATTTATACATAACATGGTACTATAATTGATAAATTGATTAAATATACTAGTATTTTGCTGTTACTACTAGAAAGGAAACGCCTCCGTGGTCGAGGGGTTAAAGTCGATGACTTCTAATCCAGTTACCTCTCTGGCGTGGGTTTGATCCCCGGGAGATGCTTTGGTAGTTTAGCGCGGAGGAAGGTAGTCTATTACTGGTGTAACTCTCCAGGAACGATGGTTAGGAAACTACCCGCCTACATGACTAAAATACTGTTGAAAAAGGGGTCAAATGAAACAAACAAACAAACAAACAAACTAGAAAGGACTCTCACCGTGGGTTGTGAAAGCCGTCTGTATTTCCTGAAGCTAGAACCGGGCTTGGGTTTTCGTTAAGAACAACTAGAAAAGCCTATCACCGTGAGTTAGGACAGCTTGACTGTATTCACTGAGTGAAGAACCGGGCTTTGGTTCTCGAACAACTAGAAAGGTCTATTACCGTGTGTTTGGGCAGTTTGACTGTATTTTTTGAGGGTAGAAACCGGTTTGTTTTTTTAGTTTATAACTAGTTTATAACTTGACCATGTTGACTGAATTCCCTCGGCTAAAAACGGATATAACTACCAGAAAAGCCTTTCATCGTGAAATTGGTCAGCTTAATTTCATTCCATGAGGCTAGAACAGTCTTGGGTTTTCGTTAAGATCTACTAGAAAGGCCTATCATCGTGGGTTTGGTCTGCTTGAGTGTCTCCCTGGGGCCAAAAACGGGTTTGGGTTTACGTTAAGAACTGATTGAAAGGCCTTTCACCGTTGAATTTTTCAGCTTGATTGTATACAATGAGGCTAGAACCGGGCTTCGGCTTTCGTTTATTACTACAAGAAAGGACTATTACCGTAAATTTGGTCAGCATGGATGTATTTCCGGAGGTAAAAACCGATGGAATTTCGTAATTAACAACTAGAAAGGCCTATTTCCGCAGGTTTGGTCAACTTGACTGTATTTCCTGAGGCTTGAACAGTCTTGGGTCTTCGTCAAGAACAACATGTAATAGAAAGCCTATCACAATGGCTTGGGGACCATACGCCGCTTTTCATAGAATGGCATGGAAGTGTCACATTGAAGGTTCCATGATAACCGCCGTATGAGCACATTTGCAGATGTTTATAAATTCAAAATTTTACTATTTCATGTTTAAATGATGAATTCTGCTTAAGCCGGTGCTAGGGGGCGTGTACGGTAGCTTACACTTTCCAGTACCGCCCATGAACAGGCTCATTCAAACCGAGCCTGCAACATTTTCAATTTTGCCGTGTTGGGCTTTCTTTAGGGATTATGTATTTATATATTTCGTTAGCTTGACTTTATTCACTGAGGCTAGAACAGTGCTTTGGTTGGTCATACCATAAATTTATACAGAAAGAAATTCAGCTTAGAATGTTGATTGGGTTTTTGTTGTATAAGTCTAGAAATCAACACCTTATCATTTTAAATCAAAGTGATTTTACTTTCATTCTTAAAAAACATGATGTCATTAACCTGTTAAAAAAAATTAAATTGTTTCTGACTCTTCTTATCAGTTTATTTCTATCAATTATCTAGACATTCCCCAAAGACGCTAGCTCGAGATGCCAGTATGCTCGACTTGAAGAAGTTTCAAGTTAATTCAATATATATTCCAATTATGCATATTAACAATAAAAAACATGAGACATTTGTAATAATCAATTATAATGATGAATAAAATAAACAGTCACATTAACATGTAAGGACATCACTGTATGAATATATAAGATGTAAAAATAGGTTTCGGGTTTATCAATAATCACCTAAAGTAATACAAGAAAAAGAAAGAAAACAATTTATTTTATGCTTTTCAGTGGATTACTGATTTATCCGTGAAAATTATATTTGGTAATTTCACAGTGAAAATTATCAAAATATAATTTCACTCTTTTCAATGACGAAACTACTTTTTCAAGATATTCCCCATGTGGTACCTTAATTTTATTTTTGCTGACAATTCTAACAATGTCAGGCTGTTTAAAGAAAAAGCAAAGCTGATATTGATAAATAACTTAAATGTCAAAAGTAATAAAAACTTTAAAAAAGAAGAAAACTTACTTCTATTCATTCAAATTCCAATCACAAAATTTCGTCTCTTAATTTTTTGTTCTGAAAAATACATTCCTTCCCCCATGCAAAACTGCTCTTGATGACATTTGGGCATATTAAAGTATCCTACGAGCAATAACTGCCGTATGCTTTATAAAAAATTGAAAAGCATTGACCAGCCATCACTCGAAGAATAAGTAAAAAAAACAGCGATCTTGAGCAAGCTTCCAAGTTTTCCATTTTCCTAGCTCCTTTTCTGAATGTTTTCACATCTGTCAACACTTATTTTTTGTCTGTTACAATCCTCAAATAAGTTTTCTTTCTTTTAAAAAGGTGTATGACTAACAAATCCAAATTATATCCCTCTGAATCTTACACAATTATTTTCCTCCCATGAAATACACAACTTTAAAAAATGGCTGCCGCTTACAATTTACAAAGCCAGGTCAAATATAAATTCGCAGTAAGTAAAAGAAATATGGATGGATGGTTGGACTTTTTCTCCTACAAGAATTGTTTGTTTTTATTATTAAAACAAGCGATCATTCATATTTTTTTAATAAAATGAATAAATATCACCGTCATTTAATGTTGATTGGCGGACTTATTTTTCAGCTCAAGACTTCTTGTTTATAATGAGAAATTCCGACTAAATGGGGCTCTCAATGGGGGAAACAGTTTTAACATTAACGTTAAAATTATGAAAATTTCGTTTAAACTTGTTTTTAAGCATAAAATAAAAAGAAAATTTGTCTGTTTGTTGTGTAAGATGTAATTTTATTTCATCTCGTGAACTTTAAAAACAGTATTCTCACTCGTGGCTACGCTAGTCGTGAGAATACTGTTTTTAAAGCCCACTCGATGAAATAAAATTTCATCTTACACACAAACAAACAAATATCCTCTATTTAATCTGTCAAACAAAGTGTAACTGTTTCTTGTCTTGAACGCTAATTGACTAATTATTAGTGTTTTGGTGTCCATGTTCCTGACACATTATATCTTTAATTTTATTTACTATTTATTTGATGCGAATTTTGTTGGCTGTCAATGGCACGCGTTTTGTGTAAATATTACACAGTATTACTAGGTAAGACAAATAGTGTTATAATTATCTGCTAATGTAAGAAACTCATGCACATCATGAATATTTACACGTGGTCTAGACTATAGTTTGGTTTTAGCGAGGAAAGATATGTTAATACTATTTTAAATAATAATGTAAATGCGTTAGAAATTAACTTAAAGGCAATTATTATAATAGATTGTATGTCAATTTCATTGAATATGAGCCAGCCTAAACACAGCCGATTATTAATTTTGAACAACATTTAAAAAAGTAAGGAGACAATGGGATATAGTTAGTTTGTCAGGACAGAAACTGGAGAACTGGTATGCAGTAAAGCTTTCCTGTTTCTGTATAGGATTAACAAAATAGGATAAATAAATTAGGAATAATAAACATACATTTTTAAAGGGAAAAGCCATTCCAGGAAAAAACACTGTTTGAATTTCCAAAACTAAGACTAAATCTGACAATACCATTTCATTATTAGCATGTTTTGAGGATTATGTAAAATAGGAAAAACAGAATCCCTAAAGAAAGCCCAACACGACAAAATTGAAAATGTGGCAGGCTCCGTTTGATTGAGCCTGTTCATGGACGATACTGGAAAATGTAAGTTACCGTCCACGCCCAATAGCACCGGCGTAAGCAGAATTCAACATTTAAACACGAAAACGGTAAGATTTGAACTTAGAAATATCCGCAGATGTGTTCATACGGATGTGTTCATACGGAAATGTTCATATGGATATGTTCATATGTGTTCATTACATAAAATATCATGTGTATTTTATTCCTCTCTAGCACGATGTACTGTTGCCTAGCGGCTCTTCATCAGTTCATGTGTGTGGGCAGTACATGATGGAGACAGCGTCAACCGTAAGCAAGTCCATATTTTTTATATATGGACAAAGCATTTCCCACACATTACAAATTAAAAAGGTGAGATTTAGTACCGTGAAAATTTTAATATTCCATTGAATTCATGTAACCTTTTGTTTTTAATAACATGACTTTGATAATTTAGATCCAGTTCCCATTATTAAGAGATTTTATTACTCATACTTGAAGGAATAAACAGGTGTTCTAGTTGCAAGAAAAGAATTTTTAAAGCATTGCCGAAACAAAGCAAAAGTTATAATTATAGCACTTTCTATGATTATCAAAAACTTTGCAAAGAATTTCAAAATGATTCATTTTGAATACAATAAATGAGTACATGGAGTACCAGTTGATGAGATGAATATGTTGTTTATAACTTGAATATATAAATGTTTACAAACCACTGCATTTACTTAATGCAGCATACGTGGAATGCTGGTCAGATGCAGAACACACCTTTCCTGCACAAAGGGTTCTAATTAAAAAGACATAAAACTTTTAAGAAAGATTCACAATTGTTGACATATGTAAGTTTAATTAATGATTTAAGGAATAGTAGAGCATTTATAAGATTTTAGATATGCTATATTTTGGGCATTTTGTACCA